AACAACTACGACAATTTTTGCGCTCTCGTTTAACAAGCAACAAACAACACATTCCACCATTCCACCTTCCCAGCACAAAACCTGTCTACAAAAAGCACCCACCCATGCAACAACTTCTACACAATTGGCGCGATGCCCACACCACATGGCAACCTGATTCACCACCACCCTGTACATGCTCACCATTACACTCACAAGTACCCCAGGAGCACATTTTCCACAATCACATTGCTATCCAACTTGCAGAACTACAACCACAACATCAGTTTTTGGCATACTCCGGCAAAAGCAATTGCCTTCAAAAGCCCACACAGTTGGCCTCACAAGTATGCCGAGCCATACGCACATGGCATCGACACTATGGACTACCTTACAACCATCAAACTGCAAAGCAGTTTGTATCTGAACAAATACCACAACACAACACACACTGCAGTAAAAACAACATACTACAGGTCAAGATGCTCAAGCAAGTCCAACACAAAATACCCACGGGTATCATCCATTGCGAAGATCACTTCCCGAACCGACTCACGTGGTACTGCCCAGCACTATACCACACTGCCATACACAACACTTCTTTAGACAAAGAGATCTTTCGGATCTCGCAGCGCCAACCTCTACAACACCACTTCGATGTCTACACAGACATCCGCAGTCTTCTACCAACTTACACATGGGCGTTTCCACAATGGGGCCGCATCCCACGTGCCTACATTCTACCGAAAAGAAAAAAGCAATTCGCGAAAGGACGTCCTATAGTGGCGTTCATCGACACCATGGGCCGAAAATTATGGGAAGCCTTAGCAGACGTACTGCAGCTGATGACACTTCAAGCATGCCCAAACTCCTTTCACCAAGGAGACGGGATAACACAGCTCAAACAAACAGCACTCTTCTTGCAGCAACGCAGGAAATTACAAGATTCAACAGATTACATCCTGTACAATCAGGATTTGGCGGGCTTCTTTACATCGGTCGATCAGAGCCGGTTTCTTTCAGCATACAGCATCATGGTTCGATGGTACAGAGAGAAGAACCCACTACACTCTTCCAAATTCTTCATTGACCACTCACAGAAAGACCCCACACATCGAGTCCACAGGGGCAAAAGCAGACAAAAGCAGCAAGAAGCCTCCTCCGGCAACAAACTTTGCATACAATTACAACACATACCACAACTCATCATTGCAGTGCTCCGACTCAACTATTTCACTGTTGGTACATCACTCATTGAGCAATTTCGCGGTGCACCTATGGGCTCGCCCTGCAGCCCAGCCCTATGCAACATCGTGGTTGCCGTCGAAGAACAGTGTTGGCACCACACATACAAACAACTTTTCAAGAACCACAAGCATTTTCCAGACCACAACAAGCAGGATCAAGCTTTCTTTTTTGCTACCAGATACGTCGACAACCGCGTCCTTCTTTTACCTGCACAGCTGACCCGACTGCCTCCTTTTGCACAGCTTACTGACGCATCTTTCTACAAACCACCGGTTCAGCTTGAAACTGAACCGGCCAACATTTTCCTGGGTTTCGCCATAAACCCTCAGCACAGCAGCCTTACGCATCAATGCACTTTGCACAAGGCGGACATTTTACACCCACAGTCAGCCACATCTGTTGCAACACTTCGCAGCAGTTTTCAGGCCCGCACCCGCATGGTACGCAGAGTGACAACACCATGCAGCGAGGCCACATCAGCCATTCGAGCCATGCGCGATCTCTACATCGCTGCCGGCTATACTGATCAACAGCTGTAAGCAAAACACTGTGCTAAGTTGCCGTGCGTGTGTCCAGAGCCATGCAACTTTGCAACATGAGAGCCGCCTTGTATCAACACAGTGCTTCCCGCAGCCATTTACAGGGTTTAACTGAGGCATCATCATGTATAAAAGTGCCATGACTGGCAGATTGCAGCCGAGCCACAAAGCGCTGAGCGGCCGTCCTCGGCCATCCATCTCCAAGCATAGCAGACGCCGCAACGAGCAACCTGCGGTTGGCAGCCACAATCAACAGCCGGCGCTTTTGCGCTCTCAGTTCCTACGTGTTGCAGAAGACGAAGATTTCCAAGATTACCAAGAGCAACACCAAGATCCGGAAGAACAGCAGGACGCAGCAGTGGCTGCACCGGCGACCCCGCCATTTCCACCTCCGCATCATTCTGATCCGGATTCATCGACTGAGATTATGGCAGCAATAACGCAGTTTCACAATTCGTTGCTTGAATCGAATGCCAAACTCGAGCGCCTGATACAACAGGCTACAACGGTGTTGACCACTCAACACGAGGCTACCACGGCGATTCTCGCCTCGTGCAAACAGCAGCTCGACGTACTCGAAAGCCTCATCAGGCAAAACGCGCCTGATTGGTCGTGAATATGCTGCTAAGGTACGCTGGTATAAAAAGAGCCAGGTAGTGCACACTTCTCGCATTTCAACACATGTTGCTTTCAGACACACACCATAACTGTGCCTTCTGAAGTTTTTGCCTCAGAGTGACACCTATCGGAATCCCGACATCGAGCCATGAGCGAAGCATCTCTTCCGACAAACACAGTGACTACAGATTCGCCACCCGTCGATGAGTCACGACGTGAAGCTCTCTCCGAGGCCCTCATGGAGATTTTGACACAGCATCGGGACTATGATTCCGAAACTGGAAGTGAACCTTCCACATTCAGTGACGAGGCTCTACGCGACCAATTAGCCGAGTTTATTCTGCAAACAACCCGGCAGATCACAGAGCTAAAGCAACGAGTGGAAAGACTCGAAGCTTCGCAACATTAGGTGATCAACCATGTTCATACCACCATTGGGTGCTTTGCAGCGGACGGTTAAAACAACGATTGTCGTTGTTGCCAATTGTGACAGTCAGTGCGCTCACTTCATATATGTTTGGTATGCAGCGATTGATGCACTCTTTCCCGCAGCATTTTGCAAAACAACCAGTTGTGTTAGCACCATGGAGCAACGCACCAGATCGCGATCTCCCACGGCATCACAATGGAGATGGCATTGGGCCACTAACGGCTCTTCATGGTGGCGTGAGTACTTTATCGCATCTCAAGAGTGGATTCGAAAGCATTCGGAGCAACCTGATCAGCGTCCGACATCAACGACTCCTACCCAAAAGGAGACAGTATCTACTACATCAACTCCTACATCCAACAAGAGAAAGCGGTCAAGAACTCCGTGAGCAACATTGCTGAGTTGACAATTAGATGCACATTTGCTGCCCCCGGCAGCCAACAACCACACAGCAAAGCTGTGCTGCGAACTCCATCATTCCTGATGAGGTTCAACATTAAGAGCATCATGTTGAAAGGTCATGCCGGTCGGCGAGGTTGCTCAATTGATGTCTCTGTGTACCTCTCTCTCTCTCTTCTGAAGATCAGCGTATGCACATGCCTCAATGCAGTTGTGACTCCGCAGCCATTTCTCAGAACTACAGTTGCTGAAACATATTTAGGATCGCACACAGATGGACGAGGATGACGACAGCAGCCTATGGGGATCCGAAGAGATTGATGCCTTCCTGAGGAAGGATGACACCACCACATCCTCCCATGCAGTCAGTCACACACACAAGCAAAAAACAAAGCACACAACGAGGACAAAAAAGAAGAAAGACAACAAAGACAAAAAGGACAAAACAGTCATGAAAACAAAGAAAACACGCAACATCTCACCACCATCCCAATCCACAACACAGCAACGACGCCAACATCCACATACTACAAGACGAAAGAGGACACGCTCTTCGCATTCAACATCATCAGCGTCACCTACGGCAACGTCACACATGGCTGAGGACGCACACCGGTCTCCATCTCGAGATCCTTGGTCTTCTGACTCGATTGCACCTTACGATATTGTGCATCCTACTATTCAGCACAAGCGGTCCAAAACCGCTTGTGCAAAAATGCTGGTACGTGCAGGTTTTAGGTGTCGATGCCATTTCAAGATCATGAGTGACTGCCCCAACAAACTCGCTGTTGGGCCATAATTCTCAGGACGGATTAGGGCTGCAAGATCCGCTAAGCGTGACAAAAAGCCTGCACATGCGAGTGTCAGGACGACACCACTTTGTTGTTTTGCCAGAGCACACATCATGTCCATGTTGATTTGCATTCCTTGTTCAAGCTTTTGTCGGTTGGTAGCAGCAAAAATATGACAAAGCGAAAGGCTGCCGAGGCCGGCCTTCCATGGTACTCCATGGCAGGACAATGTTTTCGGATGACTGTTGAAATTCCACCCGACCGCATCACCAGAGACAAGCACATGTTCTTACACGTGGTGCTTTGTCTGGGTGACAACGTTATCCAAGCTCGCAAGATCTTCTCCTACCGCATCAAGGAGATCACCGGCAGAACTCCTAAAATCCCAGCTTTCTTCTTCGAACAAAACCGTCGACGACTACATGATTGGGATTCAGTCACCACATTAGCCACGTTGATGCCGGTGCTTTTTGTTAGAACCTGTTCGGATCAGGAAATACGACAATCACCCGATCGCTCTTGACAGCGAGAAAAGTGCGCCATTCACTCCTATTGCCGCGCATCAGACCTTTCACTCTACTTGAAGCATGTACGCCCCATTGGGGCTGTGTGTGTGTGAACCTCCCTAGCACATGGGAGCAGAGGGTCACTCCTACACTGTTTGCAATTTCGCTTTTCAACATAATCCGGCATTAGACATTTACAAAATCAACTGTTGCAGGGGGCATGCGGCCATTACGCAAACGCATGCCAACGAAGCTATGCGTAATGGTGGATACCAGACCTGATCAGTCTGGCGTACCTGCATAAAATTGAGCTGGGGCCCCTGTGCCAGCCAGATTAGAAGGCCCCTGTGCCAAGATTAGATTTTCAATTGCCACAATTGAAGTTTGATGCGACAACAAGCAAGAACAACATGCCTCTCTTTTTCCTCTTGCACTCGTACTCTTGGCCGAATCCATCAGTGTGTTTGTTTGAGGTCTTCTGCTGTCAGTCCTTCAGAAGCTGTTGATACTTGGACACTGCAGTGGTCGTCATGCCCACGACCTGTCAAAGAGCGAGACACAAAGGAGTGCCCCCGAGCTAATCTCCTCCTCAGCAATTCGGCCAAAGTCGAGCAAAAGCTTTGACAGCAAAAGTGCTCGCAACTGCATAAGCCCTGCTTAGCAGCGGCACCTGCATTTCACGTAGAACGGCCAGCTTTCGATCTCGGTCAAGAGCCTCACTAGCTGAGAGGAGTCAGTTGCAATGCATGCCGATATGCTTCTGCCAGCTCCTACATATTCTGTCGATTGAAAATTGGCTCTTTGTTTCCGTTGAGCGGAAACATTCATGCGATTGCAGTTTTAGACAGTGTTAACCTTGTCGTGCAGAAAAGAAGACGAAAGCTGTCGCACACAGGCAACCTTCTCCCGTGCAGGCATCGCGATTTGCCATCTCTACAGAACTTCGCAAGGTTCAGGCGTTTTGGGACACCGTGGCTTCAGTGTTTCATGACTGTCGCTGTAATTAACATACTGATGTTCGAACGACGCTCAATGCAACCCATATACCTGACTTAAGCCAAGAGGCAGCTCGACTCTCTGCGTTCCGTTCAAGCAAATGCGCAAGCTCAGGGAGTACACCTCGTGCTTCTTCATGCGCCTGTGCAGCTCCAGCAACTTTTTGAGCAACATCCATGCAGCTACGGCTGCAAGCATCAAGTCGCACCGAGGAACCTCCACAAGCCACTGGCGGTAGCACTCGCGACGTTGCGGCGGCAGCAGCCGCCACAAGTTCTGGCAAGGCACTCGCTTCCCACCAAAGTCACCAGAGCAACCGGTTCAGCGCTGTGGCTTCCAACTTAGATCACGCTGCACCAGCGGGCGGGCAAGTGGCATGGAATGCCATCAGCCTCCTCTCGCCAGTCCAAACTGCGCATCTCCGGCGTCAAGGTCTCATAGTACTCATCCACATATGGCAGCCTGCACGACATGGCAAATCAGATTCTGCTAGCTGGCGCAGCAGATTGGATTGAATGGCTGGGTCGAAACAAAACATTGCGATCAAGTTGCCAGGCATTGTTCAACTCCTGGAAGAAATCCATCCGGCTCCTTTGTCCACTCGAATGCAAGGAATCAACGAATCCGGAAAATGCCTCTGGTAGCTTAGGAACGCGCTTTCGCTTTTCATCCACCTGCTCCGTCTGCTCGTTGTCTACATCCAGCTTGCGCTCATAAATCTCGTTCGCCGCCTGCATGACACTGCGCTGCAGCGCTTTGATGAGACCCTGTTTGTGATTGCAATTAGACTCACTAGAGCAGTGCAATGCCTCCTCTTCATCTCCATCGTCTTTTGAACCATACGGTGCGTAGTCGTCGTCGTCGCTGTCTTCCGTGAGTCCGAAAGTCTTGAACTGGCGCGTTGAAGACGGCTGCGTTTTTTTGACTGACCGTGCTACAAACCTTCTATCACGCCGGTGGCTGCACAACTTGGGTTCCGTGCCGACGGCAGGCCACCACCCTGATGTTTCGGCACCGGAGCGAATCTTGAAGGATCGCTTGTTCCGAGCCACTCCTTCACCATGCATGCTGCTCGAAGCGACTTGGAATGCCAATCGTAAGAAGATCGGTTGCTCACACGGGAAAACCCTCCTTCATGACTCTCGACCAGATCTCATCATCGACCACCCAAGCATCCTGCAAAGCCGGGAAAACACAAAGCTTGACTGCAGCGGCTTGCGCTGCAGGACAGTGGGGCCTCTGGAAAGTCATCCTTGGCATCGCCCAAATAGTCCAAGAAACCCTTCAGTAGTGACAGATTTGTGCAGGGGGGCATTTTGGGACATGTTCTTGGTGGCAGATGTGGCAGGCAAGTTCATGTGCCCTGTGCTTCTCTCACTGTTGCTGCTTCGGAATGCTTCAGAAGGAACGGGCTGCTTCGCGGGGAGGGTGTAGTAACGTCTGCAAACCTAATCCGTGAACCCCTGCCTCCAGGGATACAACAGGTACGGCTTCAGGTTTTTTTGCCTCTATGATAACGATGCTCCTGATGCGGGCACATTCACAAAACTTAAAGACTGCAAGCACTATCTCGATGGATTCGGCTCCTTCTCCGTGCTACCCAAAGCATTGAATGTGATCAGCTTGCTTTGGCTGCCCTCTGCCGCTTTTGACGAACAACAGTCAGTGGATGATTGACTCGGTTAACTCCATAGATACAGCTTGAACTGGTTTATCCTACGTACCGATTCCAGAGGGACGTTCTCGGTCTTGTTCGTGGCCACGTCTTACCAATATATCAAGGCAGAGACACGACTTTCTCGACTTTACAGAAAGCACCTCATGAAGCTTCGCGAACTACTTCGGCTAGAAGCTTGCTGGGATTTGCGTCGGTGTTTTGCTCTGATTGCTGTAGACCTCTTGTCATGGTGAATCTAATGATTCTGTTCAGCCTCGGACTCGGGTCCTGCTCATGACCTGAAGTCGGGCCCGGGATGTCAAGAGAACTCGTGGCGAGCTGAAGCCGTCCTTCTGGGCCGGGGCAAGAAGCCCCGGAAGTGACGGTTGAAGCCTCGAACACCTAAACCTGAGTTCTGCTAATGCAGCTTCAAGCTTGATGGGGTCAAAAAAAAGGAAAACGCATTGCGCCCGGGCATGCCCAAACATCTCTGCGGGTTCAGTTCTGGAAGTGGTTTGTGTGATGATTTTATGTACTAATACTGGGACAAAAGTTTTATTAGCAAGGTTTTTGGCCACTACATGTTCTGGAGTTTCGCGTGTAGTGATGACGCTCACAACGACTGTGTCGTTGCTGTTGGGATGATCTGTGCTATGTGTGTGGGGTGAGTTGCGAGTTCCAATACTACTGCTGTTGTGTGCTGCCCTGAGTCGTGCTGATGCTGTTGCTGCGATTGCCACTACGATGGTGCGCGTTATGTGGGTGGTTGATGTTGTGCGAGAAATCGAGTTTCTGCGACAAGACTGGACGGGATATGGCCGGCGCATACAAGGAGCCCTCGCCTAGGTCGCAGCTGTTCGCCAGTTCAGGTACAGCACCGCAATCGGTTGTGGTTGTGACCGGATGCCTTCAAGAAAGTTGAGAGCAACCTGTATGCACCCCTGCATGTGACAGTAAACACTGGCGGGGCACTGTTGCAGTCCATGAGAAATAAACATTTTTGCAGAACTGCTGTGCAGTGTCGGGTAAGGGGTTTCAGACTTGAAGGTTGTTCTCGTGTGCTCCAGATGTGTTTACTGTGAAACAGTACGTCATGAAACCCCCCACCCCACCCACCCCAACCCCCCACCCCAAAGAGGAAGCAGAGCACGTCACCGAACACAGAAAAGACGCAGAATCGCAAAATGCGCAGAATAGCAAACAAACATGGCTTCAGGATGTGAGGAATAAAATGGAACATACCAGGACGAGGTCGCAACCAATCATGTACCACCAAAAGCGACCGTCGGTTCTGGTGCAACGAACACAGAGAGCGTTAATCAGACACAACCCTCGACTATGCAAAGCGGAACATATGCAACAGGATGAAACCCTCTCGCAGGGTTGCGAATTCGAAGTCATCGAGCGGCTGTGGCGGGGCATGCAAAGGCAGGCACGCAACAGCAAAAGCCGCCCCCCCCAGAACTGAATCCGCTCGGCTAAACATGCAGTGATCTTTCCGGAAGACATTCGTTCGATGGTTTGAAGCTTTGGCCCTCTGGTGCCCTCCGTCTCGCCAGCCGGCTGCGATCTGACTCCCCCAGCAGCAGAGTGGAGAGCTTCAGCGTCTCGGCTCTTGCTGGTTTATCATCCAGCATGAAATTTTTCAGTCCACCTGTTTGACGGAGACCTCGCTTGCATACGCTGCAGATGTCGGGTCAGCATTCGGAACCAGAGACGAAGTCTGAAGAAACCCTGCCCGGGGCCGAAACATGCCGCCCCAAAGACTTGAAGACGGACTTTTTAAACACTGTCGGAGTCGTCTCTCGGGTTGCATATCATGACAGCCAATGCCCCTCAAGGCCGAACATAGCTCATTGATCATGCTGTAGCATTTATGGAATTGTTCACCAGATCTTAACTGCAGCCCGCCTGGTAGAATTCCTCGAACTGCTGCTCGGACATTAGCGACTGGCAGGTCATGCTTGCTTGGGCTTGGCAGACGGAAACTCGGCATCGATGCCACTCCATGCTCAACTACATCTATCATTTTGACAGGCACACGGAAAACAGGGCCGAACCTACCCAACTTGGGTGCACTGTAAGACAGCATAGAACAAATAACATCTCAACCTTGCAACGGTTGAAAGTACAGTACATGAGCCGTCAGCTCCCTGCCACTCGGTTTCAAGTGTGCATAGTAGGCAAACGCTGTGGCTGTATTGGGAATGCTTGTTGCTGCTGACCCGTCGTTCTGGCTGAGTAACTTGCAAGAACCTAACATAAAATACCACACGCAGATCAGCTGGTGTTTCCGGGGGTCTAAACAAGGTGCGTGCACACTCTGCTCCAGGTCATGTAGCCGACCGCTGTACCAGAGTGAAAGAACAGACGGCAACCGACAAGGGATACGTACAAAATGCAAGCAAGTGTGTAATGTATGCATGCATGCATGTATGTATGTAATGCAGATACATATGACAATTTGTCGTGCTCGATGCTGCAAAGGGTCCACGGAGGGGTGGGTTCGAGTGATCTCTCGCCACTTGCAGTGACTTCAGTCCCAACGCTACAATGTCAGACTGCCAGCAGACGAGCCCTGTGAATGTGATGTGATGACTGTAAGATAGCCACGTCTGCATAACACCTTGCAACTAAGAAACCACATCGCTTGAAGATGCTTGGAGCGCCATCCAGCGACAAGAACCCAGAAAATGAATGAATGATCCTTGATGACTTCGACGGATTACCTGCGCGCCTTGGCTTGAGCAGCAGAGACCGTGTGGCTGTCGACCTGCACAATCGCCTCGCAGTCAGTTTTTCTGAAAAATCCCAGGACGTCCGAAGCCTGAAGCAATTCAGCAGGCGTTCACCTTCGACAGCTCGTCTCGCAGGTAGTCCCGACCTGTGACGGCCGTCAAACCGTAAGTGTGCGCAGCGTTTTGGAAGTTTGCGATGGAACATAGCACTGGACGAGCACTTCGAATGTAACAAGGCCGGCACGCTCTGTCAAACACTTCCTCGCCTGAGAAACGCCAGGAAAGAATCCGCTTCTCCGACCATCAGGCTGCCGGCCTGGTTGAACTCCCTCGATGGCGGCACGCTCATGACGAGTTCCTGGCTAGGCCAGACACTTCCACAAGGCAGCTCAGACTAAGGTGAAATCAACCAAGTCCTTGAGGTTTCGTCGCATCATCTGCTCGCTCTTTGAGCGGGAGCCTCGCGCGAGACAACGGCACAGATCCACTGCAGTTTCGAAGTCACTGTCTCATCAACATTCTATGGATATAAACCAGCCAGCCGCCTATGCGTACAATGTTCTCACAGAACTTGAAGATTCCTTCGAGGAACCTGCGCAAAATGTCAGTTGGCGACTGCAGAAGCTGCGCCCTCAAGACTTGCCGGGTTGGCTGGTCCAATGCATGATTCGTGTAGCACACCACCAGAACCGGCGAATGACGAAGGACTTTGGTGTTGTCCAAGATTGCCTGCTGTCAAGGGCTGTCTCGCTGTGTTGTGTCACGTCGACGGCCTCTCCTGCACGATCTTCAACCCAACAAAGGTCCTACCAGGACAAGCGAGAAGACGGACGAGACTTCAACTCGATAAAACGAAGTCGCTAAGGCCGTGGCTTGCCCGTGCCAGGGGGACCCTGAATTAAGGCCATCTGGTTGGTCAACGCCTGAGACAGGGGGCTGCCATTGCAATGCTTGGGTCTGCGCTTCGTTTGACTTCATTTGCACTGGGCAGCGCGCATGCTGCACGGCGTCCAACTGCGATGGGTCCAGATCCAGAGCCCTCAACAGACTTGTGACTTTGCTTTGGACCGGTGAGGAGAGATGTTCCTGGGCTTCAAGCTGTCGGAGAGCCGGTGGCCACTCTGCCAGAATACGGAAGGACTTCGGAGCGGAGACTTCGCAATCCACCTTTGCCAGGTTACTCATGCCGCTGAAGCAATTTTGCTCAGACTGGCCTTCTCGCAACTGGAGAAGACGTTGTGGAAGTGGAACATGTCGGTCTCTTCCTGTTCTGACGATGACTGGCTCGAGTCCACGAGCTCAAACTGAAACCCTGCGTCCTTTAGATATGTTGGGGGCAATGGATCTGGCTGCTGGCTCAGCAGCGTGTGCTGAAAGGGGACCTGAAGGAAAAACATAATACTAAAGGAAGCCCACGTCTGCGAAATGTCAACGTACGAGGTCATGACATCTGTGGCCCGCATGTTTTGCAGCGCAATCAAGACGTGCCTGTACGCCTGTAAAGAAGAATCGTCTTGGTGAAGCTGCGACCGCAACACACGTCGTGGTCTGATCGGACTGATGGCCTCGAAGTAAATCGTCACATTTTCTATGCAGCAAAACACCTGCGCCATGAGCCGAAGCAGGAACTAAGTAACAGATATGACACTCATATTAGCCATTCTCACAGCCATCACGTAAAGCTTGAGCCGTTCCTTGCCGGGTGAGAGTCTGTCGTCCCAAGGATCGAAAGGCAGTCGAACGTCCAGCTGCGCCTTTCCACCAACGTGACAGCTAAGATAGGGAGAACTTATGAACTCTCTTTGGGGTCGGGATGGAAGGAATCGTCTGGCGAGCTGCATGGGGTCGGAAGTCCACAATAAAGGTATACTGGAGTCGTTTAGTTCCTTTTTGCGCAGGTGTTGGCATATTCTGGTGCTGCATGTGGTGCCGTTCAGCAGACGGCTGAACGTTGTCATTGCATTTACGATAGATTTGTTCCTGCCCCAGTGCGTTGGTCCTGCATGTCCTGTTTCCATGCGAGACTACGCTAATGTCTGGTGACTGGTCGACGTGCTTTAAGCCCTCTCTTGGATCCTTTGTTCCTCATCAGAGGGATATTTCCAAACTACTATCGTTTGACCTAGATTCGAAGTACATCGAAGCGATATGCTTCAATGCTTGCACAAGCTGTTTGCCCTGGAGTCCCTGGAGGAGCTTGCAGGTCGATGAAACTTGCCTGTGAAATCCTTCGCTTGTTGGGTCAGAAGCTTGATTTCTCCCTCCAAAATCACAGAGGGAGCTGGCGAACCTTCGAAGAAATGAGCGCAGGGTCTCGACGCCAAACCTCGGAATGCGTTGAGTGCTTGTGAGACCAGAAGCTGTGTCACGAGCTGACCGAGCGAGGATCCGTTGCCCAGATGAGGGACTTGAAGTCGTCGTCCGAGAAGCAAAGCAAACTTCCGTACCTGCAGGGATGGCCCACCGCTAAAAGCTAGTTTCGGCTTGCCGTTCCGTCACAGGCTAACTTGAAGAGTCGGCCACAACAAACAGTATGTCGGTGCATCCTGTGAACACGGCGCACATGAGCTGCTTTGACTTGTCCCAGCTGACTTTGCGAATCTGTCAGCATTCTCCAGAGCTACGTGCATGTCTGTGCTGAGAACTAGGTTCAACATGCGACTGTGAGAAAGACAACACTTTGGAGCGTCGAAATACTGCTTCCTGACCAAGCCAAGTCGTTTGGGCGAAAGCCCAAACAAATCGAACTTGCCGTGGGATCCATGCAGGGACGGTTCAACTTGAAACTACTTCAGACCACATGTACATGGACTGTCTTGAACCAGCACCACCTCTTCACGGCGGAGCTCGATGCGGTAAACGAGACCTTCTGGGCACCAGATGGCACCAGGACCCGAGCAAAGCCGATGCGCCCCCAGGAGCTGAGATCCTGACCTTCCCATGTGCTCAACACACCAACAACCTCCGAAACACGGGTTTTGGCGTGTTGTCACTGCAGAACAATTATGCTGACTTGCAGAAACCGTCGCTCTGCTCTTGCACCGAACATATCAACAACCCCTAAAGCTGCATTCCTTGATCGAAAAACTTGATAACCTAAGGAAGAGTTGGATGTTGACGTTGGCATTGGCATTCCCTACCACCAATCACGCACGTAAGGGTTTACGAACGGGTTTGCGGACATGTGCGGGTGCATAGATGTATCTGTATGTGTATGTGTGTACGTGCGTACGGTGTATGCATGCATGCATGTGTGTATCTGCATGCGAATATCCCTGGGTGTGTGTGTGTGTGTGTGTGTGTGTGTATGTTTGGGTGTCTTGCTTGCTTGCTTGGTGTCGCCTACAGGTCGTCCCCCTCACAAGGATCACCCCCCCCCGCCAAGCCACACAACCGAGTTGGTCACGCCAAGGGTACGGGTCTGTTGTCGCAGCGGCTGTGGGTACGAGACTCCGGGTTTGAAGGGGTACTCTCTGGTAACAACACCGCATGCCCTAACATGCATGTTGCGCCCAAACTACGTCGCGGCTTTCTCCGCTCGGGTGGAGAGTTAGCTGCTGCCTCTTCCAACAAAACGCGTGCGTGCGTGTGTGTGTGCGTGTGTGTTGTGTGTGTGTGTGTGCGTGTTGTGTGTGTGTGTGTGTGTGTTTGTGCGTGTTTGCGTGCGCTTGCGTGTGTCTCTCGTCTGTAGGAGTGTGTACCTTTTCAGTACACGGAAGCAGGGTCTCACACCCAGCTTTTCTTGCCGCTTGCCAACCACTTTTTCCACGTTTCTTTGACAGTGAAACCAATTTGTTTTGATGCAGCAGGAGCGCACGGCATCCTTCCGTGACCAACGAAGCTACGGTTGTGGCAGCCCTAATCACCTAGCCTAGATGTGCCTGCCGTGGGATACCCTGTGGTATCCAGATTGGCTGATGGCCCCTCTGTGGCATACACGTGGAAGCACTGGGAATCATGAAAATAGCTTTTCTGTGAGAAATCTGTGAGCGGGTTCTGTGAGAAATCTATGAGAGACCTGTGAGACATGAAATCTGGTTGCCCTGGATCCGTGAGAAAAGCTGTGAGAAGGCTATGAGGGAATGGATCCATTGGTCATCCAAACCCCACCTGCTTACAGGTTTCTCGCAGATTTCTCACAGGTTTCTCGCAGGATCCTCACGCAGGCCTCTCCAAACTCGCTCCCAGTTTGCTCAAAAGATTCTCTGCAATAAATACTTTAAAGCCTTACGCCACTTCAGCCATTCCAAGACCCGGCGGTCGCAATGGTAGCATGCATGAAACCGACATAGTGGTTTGCGTGCAAGTTTGTCTCCATCTCTTTCGCTCGTGTCTGTGTATGTGCCTCTGCTTTGGTGTGCATTTGAGTGTCGGTAATTACCTCTGTTGTCTCTCCCTGTCGGAGTGCATCTGTCCGTTTGTGTGTTCTTCATGCTTTCATTTTGTGTATGTGTGTGCTTGCGTGCATTGCATGGTGCGCCCTTGTGGCAGGTATGCCCGTGTGGCTTTCAGGTGCTGTATGGCTTGGGTTCTTGCATCTTGCATCTGACTATCCATGCCGAGGCATCCGACACTGTGCCACAGTTTATTGATGTGGCATGTAGTAGGTTCACATAGACAGGCCTGCTCAAGTCAAAGGGACTTGCAAGAACAACAGCTCATTATAGCTCATTGGAGCTCCAGCTTTGAAGCATGTCAAGCGCATGCATCCACAGCAATCATCCGGTAGACCACCTTGACACCGGTGTAAACATGCAGATCCTGCGCAAGCTGGTCTTGTTCATCTTGAAACGTGGGCTTTTGTTAGCACTAGCTCGGCTTGCAGCTTGTCACAATAGCATCAACACAAGAAGATCATTCGGAAATATTCGGAAATGTCCAAGAGCACTCCTTTGGAGAGTGGCGCCCTTGCATGAAGAGCTTGATGCCGGCACGGAGAGGCTCGATGTAGTCCTATTGTCCATGTAGCACACTTCTCGACAATCCTAAAGAACAGCCAAGCGAGGCTTGTTGAACATTTTGCAAGTACTGTAATTGTGATATCCTCTCTGAGAAGCATGAAGTGAGTCTGAATGTAGTCTGCGCATTTCTCATAGGTCTGCATGTTCTCCTCAGGTAGCAGCTGATCAAGACCAACACCACTCCGTTGCAAACAGTGCAGCTCAGGGTGCTGAAACTTCGAAGGCGCAATGTCCAATCCTGTTCAATAGCGAAGACATGCTGTCCCAACAGGCAGCAACTTCCTGCACTGGCCGCCCTCAGACTATGCGCATTGATGTCATGGTGTCGCACGCCCGGTTGCCTAGGGCCAGCCTACACCTTTTGCCGAGAACGCGACATTTCTGCTGAGGTAGGAAGAATGGGCATTTCCTGGAAGGACGTGTGCAGGCTCGAACCCTGTTGGTAGATCTGTGACACACTGCATGGTGCAACATACTGCGACATGGACACATCAGCACCTGCAGAAGCATCAGCGGCTTCAGACCAAATGAACATGAATCTTCGGCAGATCCTGGTAGTGGCTAGCTTCCAGGATCTCGGTGGCATCTTCAGCCACTGTTCTTTGCTTCTTGGGTGCTTTGGCACCGAGCACCTGGCTTCAGTGCTTCAGCATGCTTCAGCGGTGGGTAGCCTTTGACAGCTGGCACGGCATCGCAGTCACGAGTCTCGAGGTCCTGGCCCTGCCCAGTGAAACCTACACAGATTGAAAGGATGATGTGTCCGCCCTTGATGCTCGCAGCACGAAGCAGGGCAAGCCTCTTCGGGAAACGTCTTCTCCAAGCACTTTAGCATTGTAATCACGTCATCAGAAAGTCCTTCAAGAGTTGTGATTCCACTGCGGTGGGCCGCGATCTCAAACTTTGTCCCTCCTTTGCGTGCCACTGACGAACCGACCCGCACACTGTTCTCCCAGGCCTGCGAGATGATGAAACGACCAATGCAAGTTGCGGCAACAGCAATGCGAGGTTAACTCTGAAAAAGAGATGCAACAGTCTTCGTGACAGCAAACGCCAACAACAGCAATTGCATGCGACGACGACGATGATGATGACGACGAATGCTGCTTCAGCTGCCGATGATGGTGATAAGGAGGAGGATTCTCATGATGTCCCTGGCAGTGACAATTATTGACGACTACTGGGACGAACGTAACCATTGAATTTTGCATTGCCGTCGTCGTCGTCGTCATCGTCCCGGTCGTCGTCCGTCGTGTGCTTCCACATCGTGCTAGGCGAAGGCAGCTCGTGTACTTTTCCAACACATCCATCTCAGCTCTCAGCGCCGGAACAGGTTCGATTTGGGTATGCAATAGCGCCTGGCTTGCTCTACGCTCACCTGCGAGGGCTTCACTTGAATCTCGTACAAATGTGGCCACAGCTTGCCAGTAACCTTAGAGATCGACAAACCTACCAGGGTCTCCTCAGCATGCAATTTGATCACCTCAATCAAGGTGCAAAGAGGCGCTTGCTGGCTGCGTCCCATGCAATGCCATTCAGAACATCTGGTGCATCGGACCCAGCATCGCCAGCGCGCCAAGTCGCACCTTTGCTGCTCCGACCGGCACTCGGTGGCAAACCGAACTCCCTTAGATACGCCAATCGGCCACTACCTGGCTTTGTTGTATTGTTTTATCCTGCCATGGCAGGGATGACATTGTGACTATACCAGCCGTTTGAACTCCACCATGCCATTGCAGGTTGGCCTGTTTTGCAGGAGAGTCGCTGGAGCTTTGGTAGCACAAAGCGAACAAACGAGGCGAATACATTTCTTCTTCACATGTGCATGCCTTCCGCGTGTGCTAGAACTTCAGAGGCCCACGGCAGGCCCCCAGAAAACCCAAATGCCCCCAAAACTCTCAGATTTCTCGGCCTGCTTCCGTTCCGTGGTGTCCTGGTTTCCAGTTGGCGGTGCAGCCTGGCTTCCGTTGCCTGTGCACGGTTTCCGTTACAATGTTTACACGTTGATGTAACGATCAGAAGTCAACCAAGTCACGAATACGACGTGCGCACTTGTGTCGCCATGTGAGGCACAAGCAGGCAGTAGGCAGGCCAGCAGCCCAAAACTCAAACGCTTGCACCGTAGGCTCTCCCAAGACTCACCGCCCTTGCAGAAGTTGTTCAATTCAAGGTGCGCTCCTTATCCAGCAGCCCATGCAGCAGCACCCAGCCAGTTACGGAACCAGATTCCGTGTCGATGCGGGCAAGACATTCTGTTCCGTACACATTAGCCCAGAGCTCTTCACCTGCAAGTGGCTGAAGGATGCCTCCTAGGTCCTATAATCCCTATCCTATGCCGGAACTTCCTTCGGTGCCTACCATCTCGAGCTCGTTGACCATCTCAACGAAGGCACCGGCATCGTTGACGGGCACCTGTAGTACACTGACTGCACACCACACAACTTTATCTACCAATGAAGATTTCGACTCCTTGCAGGCCCACATGGCACTGCTTAGAATCTGCAGAAGAGCTGCTCTTCTGACAACCTCAAAGTTCTCGTCGACCGTAATCAATTCATGGCCGCTGTCCTGAGAGTGCTTGCGAAATGGAGAGGCGGGCCACAGCGGTAGCCACAATTTTCCAATGCAACGTCTTAGAAGTTTCAGCTCCAGCAGCAGTCAGGATCAGCTGGTTTTCGTATGCTTCGATCCTCGACCGGTCTGCGCATCGGCTGGAGTGGTGATCCGCAGCTCAGAAACCCTCGGGTTGCAACTGGGAGGCCCCCAGCCGTCATTCAAAGGAGTCCGGAATCTGCCAGCCTTTTTCAGCCGGCCACCTTCACCCGCACGAGCCCGATAGCCTGAGCGGCCAATCGCTAGGACTTGGACTCAACAGGACGCATCTCGAAAGGCCTCTCTTTCGTGTACGTGCTCGTGCCTTGGTGCCAAGTGGTGCCAAGGGGCGAATGCCTTCACCTCGTCGCCACAGCAACTGGAGCAGCTGACCCCTGAATAGGGAGGTCTATGCACGAAGCCCAGATGTGGCGACGGGACGTGACCTCCTCTGGACGAGCCCTTCTCCAAAGTCTCGGCCATCCAACTCCAGCTTTCGCAGCAAGCGAACTTCACCTGGCAGTAGACAGCAGGGTAGCAAGTGCAGAAGCTTTCAATGTTGGAAGTACATTCTTGATTCAGCATGTGCTGTCAACCGCCACCATCCCACCTCCCGGTCCCAGCTGAAACTCTCGAATCGATGAGCGCCCATAGAGCCCGGTCGACTCGTAGAGTGATCCGTTCGACCACAAAAGACCCTGAGTGAATGCCTCCGGATCATGTGGATAAGTCTCGACCTTGAACGCCGGCGATGCACTCTGGATTTGCCGAACATGTCAGAACTTGCGTGCTTCAGACTTGCTTCGCATGCAGAGGCGACATGTGGCGAACAGTGTTGAGGCCCCGCGCCACATCGAAGCCATAAATCTTGGGATCGCCGCTGGAGCTGTGGCCACTCTCCGTAGAATCGTGCAAGAGCTGCTTGCCTTCGACTCGGGGAAGCGAACTGGATAGGTGCAAATGGGTTAATTCAAACAATACGTACTCCCCAGGCACAGCCACTCCAAGTGAATCCTACTGAAATGCAGGACATAGATGGCCAAACTAGGTATTGGAATTCTTGAGGCCTTGAGTCTAGTAGTCTAATCAAGGCGACAAGATTGTATTGACAGACACAAGTACCAATGTCGCAGGACAAAGACATGTTCAGCAACCTTGCACTGATCCCAGTGGCCTGCCAAGCCAGCCACTGCCACGGCAGCTGCAACTCCCAGTGCAGTGGCAACTCTTCTGGAGCTTGGTTGCCGCTCCTCTGCAGCGCTTGGTTCCTCAATATGTGTCTGGGCATGGGCATGTTTCGGCAGTTGGTCTAAGACAGCGTCCCGAAGGCTTGCTGTTGCCCTTTTTGTGCATGCAAGCCGATGTTGATCCTCTGCGGGCACAGGCACAGAGCGTTTCACGATTTGGAGCTTCACCACTGGATGAGCAATACTGATTCGGTCTCGGAAGGCTTCACAAATACTGCGAGTCGCTCCTAGCCGCTAGCCCTAGAATCTATGTTTTAGCCGCCTCCTTCCACCTTTGAAGGGGCAATTGTGCCTGTCTGTGAGGGGCCAGGCCAGGAGGTTTGAGTTAGCCAGGACTCGTCGGATGCACTGCTGCGGTCACCACGCTTTCGAGAACGGGCTCCGCTCGGCATCTTCAGCACTGGCTCCGGTGGTGGCACCCGACATGCCCAGCCGCACCCTACATCAAACTCAACTGCCCACTACCAGTAATCATGCTGTTGGGAGTCCAGACTTCATTCAGTTAGAGCTTCTCTAGCAGAAGTGTCGCAGAGATGTTTGAGAGGTCATGCTGTCCCTTGAAGCTACTCCCACATTGCCTAAGAACAGCAGGAGCGGTGACCCGACCACACGGTTCTTGCAGGTTAAAGAAGTGCAGACTCAGAATAGCATTCATGACAGCTTTCTTGGCTCGCGGTATGGTATGGCATGCCCAGGCATGCTCAAAGCTGTCCCGCAGGCAGCTGCTGCTGCAACAGCCACTCGTAAAGATCCGTTTCAGCCTGCCAGGCTCAGGGGCCCGGGAAACGCAAACAAGAACTGAACGCTGACACCAACTGGCACTATGTCACTATGTCCTGCCAATTCACGTAAGCTGGGATCGTGCTGGCATGCCCGAAGTAATCAGGCCAGCCGTGAGGCGCGGGTGCATTGTCATAGAGCGTGACTTTGACGTCTTCCTTCCCGTAGATAGCCCCCCGGAATTCTTAATGCAACGGACATGTCCCATCATGTCGCGTCAACAATTGCACACTGAGTGGCCTGACTGGCCCCGTTTCGCCACAGAGCTTGAATAAGCTCGGATGTGATGTAGCTCGGCACGATCACATCATTCTTGCCATGAAAAGCCCAAATCGGCACTCCTGTTTGGCGTTGTGACAGCTGGCAGCTCTTCCGAGACTGCCAGGGTGCAACGCCTCTAAGCTTCTCCGCCGGAGGTGCGGCGGAAGCAGCAACCGGGACCACAGCTGCAAAGCCTGACGCTCATGCCGTGGCATGGTGTCGGACCCGAAGGGACTGGTGTGCCGTCCAAGTTGCGGCGGCTCGTCGCGGCAAGCAAAGCTCCCGCGCCACCCATCGAATGTCCGGTGACATACAACCTCGACAGGGCTCTCCCTTGCAGAAGAAACTTGAAACTGAGTTCCCCGAACGTTAGTTCCTGGAGCCAGGCCTGGCTGGATCCAGATCCAAGTCGGATCTCAATAAGAAGTCCAAGAACTTCACGACCCGCTGCACGCTCCAGCCCTGTCGGAAACACACGCGGCACCGTTTCACTTACCACTGTAAACAGCGTTTCGGCAGCCACGACATGCCGTGAGAATGCAATTCAGTCAGCAAGAAAAGCTGACACACGTGCCTGCATGTGTATGTATTTATGTATGTATGCATGTAGGGCCCAAGTTGCCGCACAGGGCGGAAAATTGAAGCGCCCCAGCACCCGCCATAGGTGCGTCTGCCGGCTACGGTCAAGGCTCGGGTCAGGCAGTGCATGATCGCATGCGTGCCATGCACAAGCTGGGAATTTAGGTTTGGCCCGCACCCGACGTGATGGTGCTCATAGGACACACTATGCAAGGTGGCCATGTTCAATCGAACATTGCTTTGGAGGACGCACTTGCATACTAGAAAACTCCTGTGTGCCAGATAAAGGCCTTCGAAAATGTCGAACTAATCGATCAGCTCTCCACTCGTCTTCTCAGAAGATATATGTCAACTCTCTCAGGCTCGCTGTATGCAAGTTGTCCAGCAAGAGACGGGACCCTTGTTCACATGAAGCCATGCAGCAGGTGTTGGGTCAGTGAAGGAAGTATATGCAAGCAGGAGTTTGCTTTTATGACTAGGAAAGGGATCGATCACGGCAGCATACGCAACTCGATGAAAGCAATGGAAGGCTTTCCGTTTTCGTTTCGTACTCCCGCAAGTATAGGGGTATGCCAGGCGTGGATCTTGGCAGGGGGAGCGAGCATTTGCATATATAGACAGATTGCATTATCTTATATTATGTTATATTGTATCATGTTCGTATCGTATACTATTATTTGTTATATGTCATTATATTGTCTTGTATTGTATTGTACTATGTTATATTATGGTAAATTATAGTGTTTATATATTCGGTACACACATGCCGTTCTATGCATAAATACACACATATGCACATGTGTATATAATCTGTATATATACAAATCATACGCACATACATGTGCAGAAGCGCACACACACAGAGGCACAGACTGTATTCATTTTGATCGCATTGCTTTGCGGTTCGTGATGTCTCATCACAGGCTGCCTTCGGGATGAGACGGAACTCCATTCATTCATGTGCACGCCATATCCTAAGTCTGTTTCTTCCGGCGACAGGAAGACGAGACCGGATCAACCTCTTGCAAAAGCACATTCGTGCGTTCGAAAACCTCATGGGTGACACAATGGTGCCCCGTGATGCTCGCTTCATTGATTTATCATTACGGGGCTTTCTGAAGCGAAACGCGAGCCCAACACGGCGAACAAGGTGCCCGCCCCTTGCGGCTGTATTACACCTGATATTTCTTTTATCTTTCCTTCACTTTCGGGGGGCTTAGGGGTCGATGCTGCTACTCATCACGGGCCGCATCCTACCCCAAGACTCCAAACCAAGCCACATTCAAGTTCTGACAGCCTTCCTTCATCTTCCGTCCGTTGGGGCGAGGTCCCAGGGCACTCCCCCTCGCTCTTAAGTTCTTGAGAGAAGAGGTTGCGGCTTTGGGGTGAGCGGAGTGCTTTCCACCCCAGTGGACGGTATGCGTGGGAGCGTGCGTTTGTCGTGGAACCAGCCCTTACGGGTGAACTTTATGTCGCACATCCCGGCCCCGTCTCTGTGCCCTCTATGGCAAGTCCTGGGTTCCTCGACGAATGCTCCCGCCAAGCTGGTCACAGTGGTTGGCAGCTTCCCCCCGTCATTATAATAATTATGTGGCCTACGCAGAAGCAGCAACGAAGCAAAGCGCAGGACAGAATGTGCTCACTCTCTCTGTCTCTTGCTTGCTTGCTTGCTTGCTTGCTTGCTCAGGGTGTGGGTCAGCAAGGCGGGCCCGCTAACCCTGCGCGCAACGAAGCTGTGTGTCCACGTCCTGGACGAGTGAAACTTTTCGGGGTTGTTTTGCAAGCTGAGCTGGAGGCTTTCGCCTTGAGGAAAGCTTGACCCATGGCATGTCCCCGTTTAGCTTACGTGTCCCCGCATTGCTCATGCATCATGCCCAGCCTTGCCCAGATCGTTGCGTCACACACTAGGGCGCCCGCCGGTATTGTGGTGGTGCTGTTGGCGGTTGGCTTTCCCGTTGCGACCCTCTACTCGTGTGCATGAGCCATGTTCTCCTCTTTCACCCAGGGGCCCCCTACAGTGCCATAAAACCGTTAGTCGCTGTCGAACATGGCGTGCATGCGTCGGCGGCGGTGTGTCCCGCCTAGGACTTGGATGCCTCCTCCGTCCTTGTTAGCCTACCTCGGGCTCTCACTAGTCTCCCTTGGCTGTGTCTCCGGTCGTGTAGTAGGCGTTTCCGCAGGCCCAGTACGCGTGTCCTGCTGGCTTCGTCGTCGTTTGTTGTGGCCCCAGGCCTCGTCCTCTGTGTCAGTTCCCGGGATCTGGTCTGAGGGCCAGCTCTCAAAGCCGCAGGGCTTCTCTTTGCGAGCAGGGGCTTCTATGTGCCCGGTGTTGGCCCCGGCAGGGCTCCATAACCTCGCGTCCCCTTCTTCCACATTGGCCGATGGCGGTGGGTCCCATGGCGAGGTAGCCTCGAGGTCGGAGTCGACCAGGGCTGTGGGGTGTCCCCAGAGCGCATGCGTCCAACCTTGAAGAAGTTGAAGGGCTTCGGCGCCGAGGGCGATCTGCTCCCCGATCAGTGTCGGCATCAGCTCTCTGTCTCTTTCTTTCTCCAGGCTTGAGGGCACGCCCCCGCTGGGGCAGCCTGTGCTGTTGGCGGTGTGCACGGTTTTACGTGCAACTAGTGTTCGAGCTGTCTCTCTCTCTCTCTCCGTGTCTCTGCTTTCTTTCATGTCATTTCCTTTCATCTTGCTTGGGGCAATCTGCCTTGTTGCAAGACTCGGATCATAAGGCAAATGGAGCTTAAGTTTTCCTACGTCCCACTAACACGCTCAACATCACGAAGCGCTGCAGACTGTCATGTGCTCTTAAAGCCCGCCTCTGCCGTGTGGGGTGCCACCACCACGAAACCTTGGCTCTGTATGCCAGCAGCACGCTTCAATGCTAATTTTCAGTGAGCCATCATTCATTAGATATCACGAATGACGGAACCTCGGTTTGACCCAACCAACGTCTTTAACATCTGACTTTCGCGCCATGGACGTGACAAGATCTTCGGAGCGCGTGCATATGTCAGTTCCACCGGAGGTGTGCCAGTTGCTCCCTGCAGGGAGTGCAGTGCAATATGCAGAATGATCTCTATCCGTCTCTGAGCAGCAACCCCGCCTCCGAGATGATCTCATGAAGGCTCCCATGCATCTCACCGGCCCCATGGAGATAGAGCAGAAGCGGAAGATTCTCCCCCGGCCCCTCTTGCGGCCGGAAAACCAAAGCCTTCCGTGCTCCAGTCTTGTCTCCAACGTGCCGTTGCCGGATTGTGCTGGACACCCGCGGACATCCTACGCTACGCAGTTCAACCATGTCCTTTGCCTCGTAACTGTCCGGGTCCTTCACTACGCTCGAGACAGAGGCTGCATGGACTGTGGCAGACGCCGACACCTCAAAGAGAGCTGACCAAAGGTGCTTGGAACCCGAGGACGCTGATAAAGTCAGATTCAGGCACAGTCGAGTGCACAATACCAGTGCTTCCAGCACGAGCCATGAATACCACAGCAGCCAATCCAATCACCTACAGATGCTACAAGTATGAGCTGGGAAGCTTCAGGCAAACAGGATCTGAATCGGAAAACTGCTAAACAAGCGTTCACATCCAGGCATCTTGCGAGGCAAAGCTGAGGCATCCAGCGCGGAAATGCCATGGACACAACGGCCGATGATCCGAGGCTCTTGTTTTCCTAGGTACTTGCTGTCATCGAATCTCCATCAGGACCAAGCAAAAGGATGCAGTTCTATGTGTGGGAACCTTCGATCCGTGTAGCAGCTATAGTCTTGCGAGGTGCAGGATTGCACTTTCAGATGGCATGCATGTGTGGGCTGCACCACCCTCCGATCAAGAACTTGCGGAGATGACGTACATGTCATGCGTACGCCGTACACGGTTCATAAGCAGTACAGTTAAATCCAAAAGGTCTTGACCAGAAAGAAGTGACTGGACCAACGGACTTTGCATCACATGCCCAGGATGCCTGCTCTGAATCGGATGCATCGCTGCATCCGGGCGAGCTTGCTGCTGAGAATAAATCACCACAACTTGTTTTGTTGGAACTGACACCGAACTGGACACGGGTTCTTGGCAAAGCCACGATCTCAAACCGATTGCATTCAAACTCGCCCATGTCCAGGAGCGGGTGGAGATCCCAAGCAATGCTCTGAGAACCGGAGTGACTGGATTACAGGGCGTTAAGGCCGACCATGATTTGCAGAGTTCCATGTCCGACAGTCACGCAACTGACCGGTTTGATCGGCAGGTAACGGGATAGGACAATTTCAAATTTGCATGTACAGCCGCCCGAGGCTTGCCTCCACCAATTCAACTAGTGGCAGCTGGCCACGAAGCTCCTTGAAGGGAGCACACAACTCCAGTGAAAGCGGTCTTGCGACGTGGTGACAAATGCTGTTTCCTTCGGCGCAGCGCTCCGCATGACAATCTCCACCATCACTTTCAGGCATTCCTGCGAAGTGCATCTTCATGAAGAGTGATCTTCGTTGACATGAAGCTGACATCCGCACTGCCTGTCTTTTGTTTTCTGAGACAACGCGCAGAATGTCTGCGCATGCGATTAGCCCACATTCCACCGCGATGGACGAACAAAGAAAGGACGCTACCAGCACGAACATGCCAACTTTTTCGCAAGTCTTTGTCGCCAATCGTGACAGATCGTGTCTGGAGCATCCTTACTTTCTGTTGCCATTTCATGTGGTCAAGCTCTAAAGATCGAAACCTGTCATGCTAGCTACACGTGTCCCATGCATGATGAGAATCTGCAAAGGTCGCTTGGAAAGCAGAAGACGCGAAGACGGCAGAGTTCGGAAAGGCAAGAACGTCGCACTTCGCGTAGATGCGTCCCTTGGGCAGGTCGCCATGGTCTGTCGGGTTGATCATCAGAGATAGGTTTTATGGCGCTCGAGCGAACCATACCCAATGAAACCGGAGCTTCTGCAACCTTCCTTTATCTGCGTTGCTGGTGAGCTAGAACGGCTCGAAATTGTGCAACCTCTACTGTCTGGCGCCCAAGAACGCTGTTCTGTGCCGTCTCAACTGACATCGCATGACAGACATGATAGACACACGCACACAAACACACAGGGCATGTATATGCATGCATGGCATCTGACCACATGCTCGACAAATAATTGTTTCACCCCCTGTGCAGCAATGCTGCCAGACCTTGCTCGGTTCCTGCGAACCGAAACCTGTCACTGCCAAGCCAGGCCCAAGTCAATGCAAGGCACACAACACACGAATTCGGGTGGGGACTTCCTCCGAATCTAGCCGCGATTCTCTGCTGGAGTCTTTCATTATGCAGGGCTTTACCTGGACCGTCGCACTAGCATTGAGACATGGTCTTCTTTGCCGCACTCGGGAGGCCACAACGGGTCGTTCCGCGACAAACTAAATCCTGCTGCTTGCCGCAGTCTCACTTGCTCGCATTCCGAATAGTAGCCTGCTATATACAGGCTGCCTATCACTGCAAGTTGATTCAGGCATTGCATCCCGAGGGATTGGATTGCTCAAACCGTGCTGCATGATGGACAGCAGCGCAATGAAGGCAGCTGCAGCTCGGCGACAAGGAAGCGACATGAGCATGCAAGCGCACACATAGACAGGTTGTCCTCCAAAAAGTTTCCGTGATGACGGCCTGGCGAATTCAGGCTGAGCAATCGTCACAAAATCTGAGGAAGGGTCCCTGCAAAATCGAGCCTGCCCCTTGCTTGATGATGGTTGTTCGAAGACATGCCTATTCCAATGACAGGTCGGCCTACCGGCCTACACATGCTTTTCGCGCCTGGCCTGCATTGCATTGGACTCCAGAAAAAGTCGATAGATCCGATCTGAGCGGGTGTCTTCCAGCAAATCCTGGCACCAAAAGCGCATGAGGTTCATGCAGAGCTGGGTAACATGGTCCGCGGAACGGCTGCGTCGACGTGTTTATAGTAACAACTAGTACAAGCGTCTGTCCTTAGATGCCAGCATCGTGATGACTTTGTACAAGTGCGAGAATTCAAACTCGGGACCTGTCATGGAGGCAGATCTTGCGAATGAATCGCATGGTTTGGGTTCGAAGTGAAGGATCCCGGCTGTCCAGGATGTCCTTAAAGAGCGTTGCATTCTGCAGGACCTGTGGTGAGCACAGCCAGGGTCTCTCAGATGACTAGTCCTTGTTCACGTGCCTCTGAGGATGTACAATTTCACTGGTCATGCCACGAAATGTTGAAAATTACAGCGATTTCTCATCCAGTCTCCAGTCACCCTTCATGCGCACTATCTGGAGCACAGAAGCTTCTTGGATCTGTGTGGCCTGATCTGTGTCCATCGCCGTCAGGCGCTTAACCTTGAACCACTTCACCGGCAACTCGGCTCACGCAAGAATCGGCCCATGTCTGCCTGATCTTTGATGGTTTCTTTCTTTTCCTTTACGCCAGGAAGTCGTCGACCGCGATTTGTTCTCCAGGCACCCTTTCGTTCCTCGTTCGGGTGACGAGGCACAGTGTGTCATGTCGGTTCTGTACATTGAAGCGAATCCTTCACCACCGAAGCGGCGCATGGCTTCCCAGTCAGGTCCTGCACTTAGAAAGCTCTGAATGTCTCATGGCTTCAGAGTCAAGTGCTGCAATCAAAAAGCTCGAATATCTCTAAACCGATGAAGTCCCTCGCGACTGCCCAGCAGTTGCAGCAAGGTCAGTCCACTGCGCCCAAACGGGCCAGCACCAGCACAAGCATCAACCAACCAAAGGCCAGGAGTTTATTCTTCAGCCAGCAAATGTCGATGCAAACTTGCTGCGAGCCCAGCCACTACATCTTGATTCTGTCATAGCTTGGAGGTTGCTTTCCTACGAAAAGCTGCACCGGCAGTCTCCTTGGACATGACAAATGACACCTCATCCTCGAGATTGATGTAGAACTTCTTGGAGCTAGTCCTACAGCTCTGGCAGCACCAGATTTGATATTCATTCAGTTCATTCATGCTCGCAGAGATGGGACAGCCAGTTGAACGAACTCATGATGTTAAGACAAGGAAAGCCAAGGTCTCCTCAAGTTGATCTCCAAACCTCTCATCATGGCCCGGGTAATCAAGCAAAGCGCAAGACGCAGGACGAAGATCCAAATCAAGCTTGAGACCCCGGCATTCGGTCGAAGCACTTCCGGGCTCCAGGCAATTGATGCCTTTCAGAGGTGGGGGCTTGTCGCCGTCTCAAAGGCAGCTGTGGATGCGATGCCACCTATAACGTCGGCTGCCCGAAAGAAGATGTCTTGACCGTCGCCGTCGTTGCCAAGTTGTTTGAGGAATCCAAACCCGCCATAGACGTTCACAATTCGGCCCCTTGGCAGGTCAAGAGGGTGAGCAGGAAGGCAGCGCAAAGTCACAGGAGGTGCATCTTTGGGGCCATGGCCACAAGCAGCTTTCCAGATCTTGAGCTGGCTCCTGCTCAGATGGTCACCAGGCCCAGTTCATGAAGAGTTTCTCCCAAACTGTGTGGATGACGGAGTGTCACAAGCTCCGCAGCTGTCTGCCAGCACAGCATCCGCTCTCTGGGTTTACCCTCTCTCGCAGGCTTTTGGAGGGCTGAGGTCGGTCAGCCCTGGCTTCTAAAGTTCCTCGTGGATGCTGTTAAGCGAAACACCCGTCAGCCAGATTGTACTCGATTTCACACACGCATCTTTTAGCCGGATTGCAAACTTGTTTCACATTGACTCTCTGTCCATCTGAGCACCTGCATCATACCTCGAAGAAATGCGTACTCACCACTCAACGGTGTGTAAACAAGGAAAAGGCTCGAGGCCTAACAACAGACTTCATTCTCAGCGCAGTTCTAAGACCCAATCCGGATCGGCGAGCCGCTTTTGTGGAGCATTTTTTGGGAGGGAGAGGCGGGGGGGGCAGGACCTGTCATTTTCAACGTTTTGTCGTGGGTTGGCCCAGCAGTTTGGGTTTGGGTCCCTTTCTTTTCAGGCCCCGTCGGCTGCTTTCAGACCAGCGCCGAGCCATGACGTATCATGCTAACTTCGCTGCTTGCAACGCATGAAGCAGCTGCGGACAGGTATAACGGAGCTAGGATAAGGTGAGAAACTTGACACAACATCTGTGCAGATCTCCAAACAAGACGAGATGCATCGGCCTCAAGAAGGTGAAAATAACAGAAGCACAGGAAGAACCCGAAGGCGGCGAGGCTGCTGGGAGGCTTCATGCACGGAGCAGCTCGAAAGATCAAGCATTCACGTGAGCAATCATGAGCACGCAGATGTGCTGCAGCCCCACTCAAGGGTATAAGGACAAACTATGGCGTGACGTGTGCGCAACATTTTGTCCGATTCTGTGTGCTGCCTCCACGGTTACGGGATTTTCACGCAGAAGATCAGTTTCGGCTTCTTTCTCAGGTTGAATGGGCTTGTCAGTGCCGTCTCGGTTCTGCTTTTGAACTTTCGGTCTTATACGATCTGCGAAAACTTTGGATGAAACCTGATTAGATTGAAGTTCCAGTCTGAGTGCACCTCATCGGTATCTAGTCTCACATCTCTGACAGGCTGTTGCCGCACAATTTCCGGGTGCCTCGGCCGGCTTGGTCTCCTGCATCCGCTGTCGACACTATTGCTATCGTACTAATTATCTTGCTTGCCCTCCGCCGAACCTCTTTTGGCTTTGCGCTGCTCCCTGCGAAAACCACATGCATGGAAACAGTTGTATCTGCAGGCTCGGGAATGCTTTCGAGGCCTGTGAAAGGTGCCAGCGTGCCACCGGGTCTGAGCGACCTGCGAGTCTCAGAACGTCTGCAATTGGTCTTGTCGTCAAGTCTGCGAAGTGCTCCAAGGTTCCGACACAGGGCCGGAGAGCCTTCCAGCTGCTTTGGAGCTTGGTCCTTCAAGTCTGGCTGGAGCTTGCAGCTGCTGTTGGAACTACTGACATTGCAACAACTGCGCACCGCTCTCAGTGCTTGGTGCACGAAACAGGCAACGCAAGTCCCAGCAAACATCAGCTTCAAAGGCTATCTTGTCCAAGCCAATTCGCATGATTTGCGCAAGTGAGCGTCCTACGCCGCACGACTTTTACCCTTGATTCCCCGGCGTAGGTCCCGACCTAATGATATACAAAAAAATCCGGCGTCAAGCAGGTGTGCCGATAAAAGCATCGTGCACTTGTCAGACAAGTGTGCCACATGAACACGCAAGTTTTTTGCCGTCATGTGGCACATGCGGCTGTGAGAGCTATCAAACAAGAGCTCACCGTTCTCAGGTGCGAAAGCACCCCGAAAGCTCATTAGCATCGCGCATGCATAGCATCTCAAGGCGGAGCTGCGACGATTGAACCAACATGCCATGGTGGCCAAAACTTCAGAGTCGCGCGTCCTGAATCGAGCAGGAGAGTGATTTCGTTTGCGTCGTACCGGAGCGTCGAAAACGTTGCTGAGCAACCGGCCGATGATGTTTTCGAGAGGAAGGGGGCCCCAAACGTGCCCATCCAGAGATTGGTTCCTGCATCGAGTCGCACCAAGACTGCACAGGGCGAAAGTGCTTCGTCTCAAGTGCTCTGAATCTGAAGCGGTACCCGTGATGAAATAACCGAAGCATCAGGTCTCCTGTTGTCGCCGAGGACGAAGACACATCCGTCTGGAACTGTAATAGGTCCAAAGTCGTACTTTGCGGCCTCATGCAGCCGAAGCACGAAACCTCTGCCTGACCCTTCAGTCCCAGCTATGGGGGGCCTCGTTCGTGAAAGGTTCGTCCTGTGCTTCACCGTTGATGTACCTCTGCACGAACCATTAGTTAGTAGGTCTCCCCTAGTACTTTTGCTTGGCACGTTCGTCATGTCAACATCCGTGCAGTGGCAAACGTGAGCTTGGCAAAGTGCTCTCTCCAACTCTTTTTTGCCAGGTTGGCGCACAAGGTTCCGCCATTCTTTATCTCGACCGTGTCCCCTGCAAGAGCGACCTGCTGCGTACAAATGTCGCTTCTTCCGGAATCTCGCTGTCGAACATTGGGATAATGGCGATTCGCTTGATCAAGGCATCTCCAGATCTGTCACCGCCTCGGACCAGATTGGGACACGCAGCAAAATTCCAAGATGCTCTTCTAACCATGGGGTTCTGATGCCGTCTCGGTCAGGATTGTGGATCTGTCCCCAGGTCGGTGGGGTTATGTGAATATCGTGCTCAGCCTTTTGCTTCCACTGGCAGGAATAGCCACACAGGAGCCAACAGTGTACTGCCCTGAGGTCACAGCCAACAACCAGGCTAAAAGCTGGTGGTGGGTTGAAGACGACAACATCTCTGCGCTGGTACTCGCGCCTGAGCAGCACGAAGCAAGGACAGTAGACATGCAGCGCAGGACAGCAACTGTCGTTAACAAGGCATGTAATTTGTGTTCACGGGCCGCGACCAACGTTTTGAGACCTTGTCAACTGTCAGCTGGTCACCTTGAGAAGACTAGCAGCAGATCCGATCGCCCCCCAACAAAACAGTAGAGAGCGCCTATGTCGAAGTTCGGGTACATGGACAAGGACGGAATAAAGCGTGGCCTTGAGATGAACCGCATATACGGGGGCCGTGCAACGCTGTCACCTCCTGAGGTTCCAACTCGACCAGGAAGCCTCTGATCAAAAGAGCCTGAAATTGCAGAAATCGTGGCGACACGCTTCGTTGAGGGTGGCCAGCCAGGTTGCCGGCCACGGTGAGTGATGTGAAAAACGTCTTCACATCCTGTCAAGAAAACCGAAGCTTTTCAAACTGCGGCTCCCAGATCTTAAGAAGCCAAGGGCCTCCTGAAACTCAGGGTCTTCCTGCAATCAAAAGGAACAGACGGGTGTCATGAGAATTTGTGCTCCGAAGTGACAGAGCTGCGGCGCAGCCTTCAATTTTCGGACAAACCCCTTCAAGCCATCGTCGCTTTCACCTTGCACTCATGCAGCATCAGCGAAACACTCCGTTGAAGTCTTGGGCACGGACCCCTGCGGGCGGCTTCAGCGGCCTTTCCAGCGAGGCCGGAGCAAATGTCGACTGCACACACAGGCGCACAGCGACACTGGCACCAAGCTTTCCAATCCTGTGCTTCTGGATCCCGGGCCACCTGCATGCCAAGTTAATCACAGCATTCCAGATGAGCGCTGGAGAAGTTCATGCGAAAGCTTAGGTTCAAACCCGTTCGGCCCCTGCTTCTGGATCCCGAGCCGTCTGCCCGTAACGCTGGCTCTAGGATGCTCTAGGCGTGTCAGCTCCGCATCAGTGCAGTGGCCGATGGAGGCCTCTCCGTCTGCCTGTGCAGACATCCGGCCTGCAAAGCTTGAGCTCGGAAGAACGCAAAGTTTGCTGAAGCTGGCACTCGTCTGGCATCTGACACAACTAATCTTCATGCTGCACAGCCTAGGCTTGCCAAACACCGAGATGCAGAAATCCCGATCTGGTGCAACAGACGGACCACCTTTTGATGACAGCTTGACGGCGGATGGTGGAGGATAGGACCGTCTATGTACTTTCATTTGGCTTTGACTGTGGCAGCTGATTGGAACCCTTTAAGGTGCTAAACTCCATGACTGTCTTGCCGCAAACTGGGAGCTCCCTTCTCTGTTTGGTTCTTTGAGCAAACAAGACTGCCGACTGCGTCAGCCTTGATTCCTCCGCATTCGACATGTCGCTGCTTTTGCTCGTTTGGGGGTAGGCCATCGCTTCTCTTGGGCCAGAAGCACTCTCATGGATGCTGCCATTTTCTCGACATGTCAGAACGGCATCAAATTTGGCATGCAACGCTTATTGGAACTTCCATACGACCAATCTTGCTGTGTTAACTGAGCAACATTGAATGCATACGTGTACTTGCTTTACTTGACTCCAGGACGGCACGCTTCCAGAATCTGTGATTTTCGCTAAGGCCTACCTGGCGCAATTCTGCCTGACGAGTGGCTTCGCATTATGATGCTTTCTACACTGCGGAGACTCGGTTTCTCGTCTAGCTCGCCTTGTTTGCCGTTGGTTGGTTGCCGACATTAGTAACGATTTTTCGTTCATGCCTGGTTGGCTCTGAGGATGTAGATTATGACAACGGGGCTCGGACTTTAAACCGTATGTCAGTGAGCCCTTCTTGCTTTCGCGGCTGCATCCCCAGGAGTCGAGCCAAGCATTGCATGTTGACCTCCAGAAGGAATCTAAACACTTGGACTGAGTTTGGACTACGTGCTCAGCACCTTGCCGCACATCAGACAGCCAAAATAACAACTTGAAGAACGTGCATGGTCGGTTTGTGTTGGTGTGCATGTTCATCGCAGCTGCGAACGACGGCCAGAGAGCAGTTGCTGTCGGCGGAAGATGAGAACACCGTTGATTCAAGAAGTCGTTTCCCGACAATCAACATGAACATGTGACACACTCAGAATTTCTGCGCTTACGACCACTCCATCCGGGCCGTACACAGCATCACACCGCGTTAAGCGCAGCGAATGATGAACCTCGTTTGTGTGGAGCAAAGCGTCCGTCATGCTTATGATGTCGAGCCAGCATTCTTGCATACCCTGAAATTCGAAAGTAAGGGTGCACTAGCAACCTACGTCGATCCCACCGTCCACCCCTGCACCTCCTAGCACAAGGAGTGGGCAGACTGAGACGCATTGTTTTATCTGTGGCGGCAGATCCCTGTAGCCCGGAGATGCCTAGCTTCGAGCTAGCAAAACTCCAGGGAGGGTTGGGTGGGTACTCTGAAAATCTTCTACCCCCCAAAGGGGTTCTAGCCGTAACGGCGACGGATAGAACACATTTAGCGAAAACACCTTCGATGTTTTAGCTGTCGACACCTTCGATGTCGAAGGAGGAACTTCGGGTTGCTAGCACACACAGTTGTCCCTCGTCCCTCGTTACAAGAAGCGTGCACTAGCAACCTACGTCGATCCCACCGTCCACCCCTGCACCTCCTAGCACAAGGAGTGGGCAGACTGAGACGCATTGTTTTATCTGTGGCGGCAGATCCCTGTAGCCCGGAGATGCCTAGCTTCGAGCTAGCAAAACTCCTAGCAACGCCACTCGGGCTACCAGGGTTCTAGCTTCTTGGGCTTCTTTCTGAAACGCATCGGTTTCACCGACCTAGCTGCTTTCCGCTTCTTAACTTCGCCGAAAAAGCTTGCAGAGTGTTCTAGCAGCTTGCCCAAGACTCGCCACCGAAGTTCGCTGCCAACTAGCGGGACCCGGAACTCTGGAGAAAAGTGATCGAACTTTTCGTTCGTCAGGTCGTCTGCTAGCTGGTTCAGGTCACGGCGGACCCACTGTAGCTGGAGTTCGCAGTTTCTAGCTTCCAGCTCTTCTGCTAGCTCCATCAGGACTAGCCCCGAAGGAAACTTTGTGGTCATCAGCTTCTTTAGCAGAGCTTCGTTGGACTGGTTGTCCGTATAGCCTCTCAGAGCTACACGGGACAAGGTCCTAGCCCTGCCTTCTGGGATCCAAAGCCGAACTGCAACAAGGGTTGCCAGTAGCTCTAGAGCCGCGATGACCTTGTTGGGGTCACCTTTAGCGAAAGCCCAAGGTGCCCAATCAGCCTCCACTTCCAGCGAAAACCAAGGGCCCTGGCAGCCGGGAACTAGCTCCAAGAAACCCCCGATCCAGGCCCGGCCCGCCTCGGCCTTAGCGTCGGTGAAAAAGCTGAGCGGCGCCTCCGTAACTTCTAACGGCTATCCAGCTACAGAGCACTCTTATCATGGTGGGCAACTTTAGCGGACCTTGGCAACCTTGCACCGCCGAGGACCAGGCATATAGCGGTCCGAGGAAGGGCTTCTCCCAATCTAGGGACATCGCCGCAAATCCCAGCCTGCCTAGGCCCTGCGCCATCTCCTTGGCCGAGACGTAGCCAGCTGTAACGGTGTTCCGTAGCCAGGAGACCAGCCAGCCTGCTCTCTTCGCCGAAAGCCCCAGGCGGTGGCTAGCGTACTCGGTCTCCATGCCTAGCCACTCCACCCGGAAGCCCCCTCTCGACTTGGCCCACTTGAAGGGAAAGCCCAGACTAGCGAAGTAAAGGTAGCTGAGCGGGATGCCCTGTCTCCCCTTTGGGCCGCAGCCTAGCGACTCCAGGTCGTCCGCATATAGCAGCATGTCTATCGGGTACTCTGGCCCCACTAGATGGTGGACCAGTCTCAGACCGCAGGCGGCGATCCTTGACCACCAATAGCTCGCGCAGGAGAGGCCGAAAGTGCCTACCAGATTGACGTAGACAGTCTGTGTAGCGGGGTCCCCGGGGACCTCTTCCTCTAGGCTTATCTGGCATGCCAGATAGCCGTGCTCCTTGCTCTGGTGCTTGTAGCGGCGGTGGGCTTTAGCTATGTCGCCAACAACCGAAAAGGCCACCTTCTTCTCCGCTAGCATCTCCCGGAGCAACTGCTTTTTCTCCCGGGCTCCTGGAGCGCGTAGCTTATCACGACATTTGATGCGGTGATTGACTCTCACTCCATGAGTAGCATCATGGATGATGCGCTTCTTGTTAGCTGCCTCGTCCTCAACAATGACGGCTAGCGCAGCTATAGCTCTGTGGTCGCCGTACTTCTCGACAAACTCACCTAGAGTCATCTTTAGCATGAGGCCTTCGGCTACGTCCTCGTCGAACTAGGTGTAGTTAGGGACCCACGCTAGCGAAGCCTCCCAGGGAGCATTCTCCAGCGGCCACTTTAGCTGCTCCTCGTAGACGTGAGGCGTGCGAGGTAGCGGGTCGAGGATCCCCACAGGAAGTCCTGTCTCCGCTGCCAGGAGGAACTCTCTATCCGGGTCCCCTGCAGCTTCTAGCAGCGCCCGCATGAGCCGTAGATAGAGAGGCTGGCCCTCCGCCACTTCTAGCAGCTTCGGGTCTGTAAGGTCTTGGGCCTCTAGCCAAGCTTTCCAGACTTCCCTGAGCTCCGACTGTAGCTGAGGGTCCGACGCCAAAGAGCAAGCCGTAGCACCTCCCGAAGCCATGCGGAAGGCCTCCTTCTCTAGCTCCTTCTCGGAGCCCAGCTTCCCAAGGACCACCTCCTTCATTCTACTCCGTAGCCAGTCCCAGTTGTTGCCGCTAGCGAGGTTACGACGCTCCGGTGGCCAACGGCCAGGGGAACAAAGTCCCCCGCCGTCGTGGAAGTCCTTGTAGCCACCCACCTGCCAGCAGCGACGGGGTGGTCCGTGACCTCCTTGTAGCCTCGGGCCCTCCGGCTGGCAAACAGGAAAAGCCTCCGGAGTAGAGTTCGGGTGCTCCGTAGCGGGGGCCCCCAAAGTCTCGCCGCAAGCAGTCGAAGCTGAGGCCACCGTGTGGAGCACCAAGGCTGCTAGCCAGCTGCACATTTGCGGTGGCCAAGCCGCTGTACCTGTGGTAGCGAAAGCAGTCGAGGTCCTGCAGGCAAGGGACCAGTGTAGTAGCCTTCGGAATCAAAGGCAGGCAGTGCTTCGTAGCAGCAGTCAGGTAGATGCAGAGGCGTCTTTAGCAACAGTCGAGTAGGTTTGCTGTAGCTTGTACCAAAGGAGCGTTGCTGAAAAGCTGCCGTGCGGAAGCCTGCTGAAAGTAGCTCCGGAAACTGGGGCCATTGCCACATAGATGCGGGTCTCTGGCCTTTGTATGGCCCGGAGGCTAGCGCACCTAAGTCCTCTGGCTGCTCTAGCACGAAGGCTGAGGCAGCCCCCTGGGCTACTAGCTGAGCGACTTCAAAAGAAAAATCAGCAAAAATGTTGCCTAATATAGCTTGGTCCCTCTGGGCTGCCGTTAGCTGCGCGTTGCCTCTGGGACAGTCGTAGCTCCTGACCGGCAGCGGCCCACGGAAGTTCGCCCAGGCTGCTCTGGAGAAAGTAGCGCAGGGTGGCGAAAGCAAAATTGCACTGAACTCTCTAGCTGCGATCCGCTGCAAGTAGGCCGTGCGAACCTTTTCTAGCGAAAGGTCATATCGCTTATCGCGCAGGATGTCTACGCACTCGACAGAGACGTCCAGACCCATAGCAGTAGCAGTGTGGTGAAGACACGTAGCCATGTCCCATGGGCGCACCTCACCCGCGAACAGGTAGAGGACCTTGTAGCTGTGCGGCGGGCTTCAGTTGGAGGGCTTGCCTCCGTCGCCTTTGGCACCTCCCGAGTTGGGGGTAGCCACAGGACGGCCGCCGGCTTTGCACTGGTAGGCCGGATGCTTAGCGAAGCATAGCTGGCAAACATGCTTGAAGCGGCAAGCCTTCTTGTGCGGGCAGCCTTGCTTGCTATTGTAGCGAAAGCAAATTGCCTCGCCTTCCGGCGTTGTGGTAGCCCCATTCGCCACGCCTTTGCCCTTGCCTTCGCCCTTAGCGCCCTTGGTG